AAACGGGAATAGTGCCAAATTTGTCGGCGCTACAAATTTATCTACCGACGTGTTCTTAAACGCGGCAGTTCACAAAATTTACAGAAACGATCCGGCAGAGAAGTCAGATCAGAGTCGAAGTGATGGCTGCAGACGAAGGAAAAATGAAAATCGAAAAGTTCGATGGTGCGGACTTTGGCTTCTGGAAGATGCAGATCGAGGATTATCTGTACCAGAAGAATATGTATCAACCACTCACGGGAAAGAAGCCAGAAGACATGAAGGAGGAAGAATGGAGTCTCCTTGACAGACAGGCCCTTGAAGCCATTCGGCTGACGTTATCCCGTAATGTTGCTTTTAACATTGCAAAAGAAAAGACGACAGCAGGCCTCATGAAGGCTCTTTCCAACATGTACGAGAAACCATCAGCCTCAAATAAAGTTCATTTAATGAGGCGATTGTTCAACTTGCGTATGACGGAAGGTGCTTCGGTGGCACATCATCTCAATGAGCTCAACACCGTTACAACTCAGTTGAGTTCAGTTGAGATCGAGCTCGATGATGAAGTACGGGCTTTAATACTTTTGTCTTCCCTACCAGAAAGCTGGAATGCTACAGTCACAGCTGTGAGTAGCTCATCGGGAAGCAATAAGTTGAGATTTGATGATGTCCAAAATTTGGTTCTCAGTGAAGAGATCCGACGGACGGAGTCGGGTGAACCATCGACCTCTTCTGTGTTGCATACAGAGTCGAGAGGAAGAAGTTCAACTAAAGAAAGCAGACATATCAAATCAAAGGGAAGAAGATCCAGGTCCAGAAATCATCGTGGTTCCCAAAACTCGAAGTCGATCGAGTGCTGGAATTGTGGGAAGACCGGGCACTACAGAAACCAGTGCAAGAGTGCACCAAAGGGCCAGGAGACAAAAGAAGAGGCAAATATTGCTTCAGTCTCAGGTGGAGACACGTTGATATGTTCTTTGGAGAACAGAGAAGAGTCTTGGGTGTTAGACTCTGGAGCATCCTTTCATGCTACCTCACAAAAGGAACTATTCGAGAATTATGTTCCTGGAAATCTTGGTAAAGTTTACCTTGGTAATGAGCAATCATGTGAGGTTGTCGGCAAAGGTGCAGTAAAAATCAAGTTGAACGGGTCTGTTTGGGAATTGAAAAATGTCAGACATATTCCCGACCTGACAAAGAATTTAATCTCCGTAGGCCAGCTAGCCAGTGAAGGCTACACGAAAATCTTCCATGGTGATGATTGGAAGATTTCAAAGGGTGCAATGACAATTGCTCGAGGCAAAAAGAGTGGTACTCTTTACAAGACCACAGGAGCATGTCATCTGATTGCAGTTGCAACAAATGAAAGTCCCAACCTATGGCACCAAAGACTTGGGCATATGAGTGAAAAAGGGATGAAGATCATTCACTCAAAAGGAAAATTACCAGGCCTCCAGTCAATAGAAATTGACATGTGTGAAGGCTGTATACTTGGAAAGCAGAAGAGAGTCAGCTTTCAGACAAGTAGAAGAACCCCAAAGAAGGAGAAGCTTGAGCTCGTCCACTCCGATGTTTGGGGTCCAACCACTGTCCCATCCGTTGGTGGGAAGCAGTACTTCGTGACTTTTATCGATGATCACTCCAGAAAGGTATGGGTTTACTTTCTGAAACACAAGTCAGAAGTATTTGAAGCTTTCAAGATTTGGAAAGCTATGGTGGAGAATGAGACAGGCTTGAAGATCAAAAAGCTCAGATCCGACAATGGTGGTGAATACGTAACCACCAGATTCAAGAAGTTTTGCTATGAGAACGGGATCAGAATGGAGAGAACTGTGCCTGGTACGCCTCAACACAATGGTGTAGCTGAGCGTATGAATCGAACATTGACTGAAAGAGCCAGAAGCTTGCGTGTGCAGTCAGGCCTACCAAAGCAGTTCTGGGCAGAAGCAGTCAACACAGCAACTTACTTGATCAACCGAAGTCCATCGGTACCACTGGATCACAAGTTACCAGAAGAGGTATGGAGCGAAAAAGAAGTAAAACTCTCACATCTTAGAGTTTTTGGGTGTGTAGCATATGTGCACATCAGTGATCAAGGTAGAAACAAACTTGATCCAAAATCAAAGAAATGTACTTTCCTTGGTTATGGTGAAGATGAGTTTGGCTTCCGCTTATGGGATGATGAAACCAAAAAGATGATCCGCAGCAGAGATGTCATCTTTAATGAAAGAGTGATGTACAAGGACCGGCATAACACAAGTGCCAGCAACTCAGAAGCGAGTGGGCCAGTTTATGCAGAGGTGGAAGATATCCCAGACATTCCTGTAATAAGGAATCCTCGGTCAGAGAAATCAAATGAAGAAAGCGGTGAGCAATCAGAACCTTCTACTCCAACTCCTGTATTGAGAAGGTCCTCTCGGCCCCATGTACCTAACAGGAGATACATGGACTACATGTTGTTGACCGATGGAGGAGAACCTGAAGATTATAAGGAGGCTTGTCAAACCCAGGATGCTAGCAAGTGGGAGCTTGCCATGAAGGACGAGATGAAGTCCTTGATCTCAAATCAGACATGGGAACTAGTCAAGTTACCCATGGGAAAGAAAGCACTTCACAACAAATGGGTGTATCGGGTGAAGGAAGACCATGATGGTTCCAGGAGATACAAAGCCCGACTGGTTGTCAAAGGATTTCAGCAGAAAGAAGGAGTTGACTACACTGAAATCTTTGCTCCAGTTGTAAAGCTCAATACTATCAGGACTGTGTTAAGTATTGTGGCTAGTGAAGAGCTCTATCTAGAGCAGTTAGACGTGAAGACTGCATTTCTTCACGGAGACCTAGACGAGAAGATCTATATGCACCAGCCTGAAGGTTTTTCAGACGGAAAGAATGATATGGTTTGCAGATTGAAGAAGAGCTTGTACGGCCTGAAACAAGCTCCAAGACAGTGGTATAAGAAATTTGAGAGCTTCATGCACAAGGAAGGATTCCAGAAGTGCAATGCTGATCACTGTTGTTTCTTCAAGAAATATGAGTCCAGCTATATCATATTGCTACTTTATGTCGATGACATGTTAGTAGCGGGATCAGATATGAAAGACATCAGAAATTTAAAGATGCAGTTGTCAAATGAATTTGACATGAAGGACTTAGGCCCAGCGAAGAAGATTCTTGGAATGCAAATCACGAGAGATAAGCAAAAGGGAATTTTGCAGTTATCTCAGGCAGAGTACATCAACCGTGTTTTGCAGAGATTTAACATGGACAAGGCCAAGCCAGTCAGTACACCTTTGGCCAGCCATTTTCGTCTATCCAAGGATCATTCTCCTCAAACAAAAGAAGAAGAAGAGTTCATGGCTAAGATTCCTTATGCTTCAGCTATTGGAAGTTTGATGTACGCGATGGTCTGTACGAGGCCAGACATTGGCCATGCAGTGGGAGTTGTGAGTAGGTTTATGTCAAAACCAGGAAAAGCTCATTGGGAAGCAGTCAAATGGATCTTGAGATATATACTAGGCACAACAGAAAAGTGTTTGTACTTTAGAAAGGGAGATCTAAAGTTACAGGGCTACGTAGATGCAGACTTTGGAGGTGAAGTTGATCACCGAAGAAGCACCACCGGTTATGTTTTCACTGTCGGGACTACAGCTGTTAGTTGGATGTCGCGGATACAAAACATTGTTGCTCTATCCACTACAGAAGCTGAGTATGTAGCAGTGACAGAAGCCAGTAAAGAATTGATATGGCTTCAAGGATTGTTAGCAGAGTTGGGTTTCACTCAAAAAGAGAGTGTCTTGCACAGTGACAGTCAGAGTGCGATACATCTGGCAAAGAACTCAGTGTTTCACTCCAGAACTAAGCACATTGACATATGATATCATTTCATCAGATCTCTTCTTGAGGATGAAGTGTTGACTTTGAAAAAGATTGTTGGAAGCAAGAACCCGGCAGATATGCTAACGAAGGTGGTGACCATTGACAAACTGAAGTTGTGCTCAACTTCAGTTAGTCTGCTAGATTAACAGACCGGAGAATACTACTGCAGTAATTGAGGTGTGAGAACAGATTGAAATCAGTCCTCAAGTGGGAGATTGTTGAAAAGTAGCCCAACAAATTTTTAAGCCCAATTTCTTTGACAAATTGGAGGAGCACCCGGCTGTTGAAAAAAAAAAGAAAGCCACCCACCCATTTTGACAGCACACATTTGGAGAAAATGAAGCATCCTTTTGTTGAAATTATGGTGCACTCCCCCTTCTATAAATTGAGGGGGAATCTGAAGAACACTACACACCAACACAACAGAAGAAAATACAGAGAGCAAGAGAGAAAAAAAAAAAGAGGGAACAGTTTTAGCTTTTGTGTGTATTTTTGAGTTGTGAGTTGTGAGTGAGTTTGCGAGTGTTTTGTAAACACGAGTGTTTTTTTTCTTCCTAATAAAATATCTGCAGTAGTCCGGAGACGTAGGCATTATTGGCCGAACTCCGTTATCAATTTGGTGTGTCCAATTTTTTTGATTTCACTTTTATTAATCCGACTTCATGAAAATTTCAGCGTATTTTTCCCAACATGAATGTGGGAGTTTTGCTATCTCTACTTGTGGGAGTTTTTGTTTTTGTTTTTGTTCTAGTGTCGTTAGTTAGGTTAGGCTTGTTTAGCCTAGAAGGCTACAGTCGTCTTGACTCGTAGGCCTCACTGTTTTCAACCTTTGGTTGTTCTTTTCGATCATTTGGCCGTTTATAATTTTCCGTGATTTATTAATATAATCTGTCGTTTCGACAAAAAAAAAATGTGGGATATTTGCAGTAAAAAAAAAAAAGAAAAGTTTTTTTTTTTTTTTTTTCTAATAAAGTAAACGAATTTACATGACATCAGTTGAGGTACAATCCCCAGCGCACTATGTCCCACATTTAAATCACATATCTCAATTGTGTGGCATCGAATTATTCCACGACCCCCATATTTCATACCTCCCACTTTCATCTGCTCTCCCCCTCAAACCCCGCCATGCGCTTGCGCTCACCATGGCCTGCTCCGCCGCCGCTCCTCCCGTCGTCCCGCCACCCCACCATCGCCTCCGACTTCCCCTGAACCGCCGCTCCCTCCTCTTCCTCTCCTCGTCCCTCCCCCTCACCGGACCCCTCATTTCTTCCTCCGCCGCAGGCGCCGCCGTCCCTCTCCAGCCGGACACCACCGTCACCGACAGGGTTTTCCTCGAATTCAGTTTCTGCCCGTCGTACTTCCTCAGCCGCACCCTCGGCGAGAACGACCTCTCCCTCTGCCCCGACGCGGAACCCCTCGGTCGCCTCGTCCTCGGACTCTACGGAAACCTCGTACCCATCACCGTCTCCAACTTCAAGGCCATGTGCAGCGGGGCCTCGGGCTCCACCTACAAGGGCACTCTGGTCCAGAAAATATTTCCCGGCCAGTTCTTCGTGGCGGGCCGGCAGGGCCGCCGGGACAAGGGCGAGGTCAGGCCGCCGGCGGAGCTGGTCAGGAACACCGAAACTGTCGATTCGAGGGCATTTCTACTGGAGCACTCGAGAGCCGGCGTGGTCTCGCTGTGCCTTTCGGAGAATGATGACGACGATGATTTGAAGCTCAATTCTAATTATCATAACGTGGAGTTCTTGATTACGACCGGGCCCGGCCCGTGCCCGCAGCTCGATAGCAAGAATATCGTGTTTGGATCCGTGCTTGAAGGTAAAGTTTTTCAAAATTGCTTCTATTTATAACGAATTAGTTATTGGATGGTCCAAAAAACTAACAAACATAAAGGTGGTTATTTGTTATGGTTTATGATGAAGGTCTCTAGATGAAGTCTCATATTAGTGTGATTCAAATGGATATAGCCAGCCATATACGATAATTCTAAGATCAAGTGACGATATATAGCCCTTTTTGGATTCGATAAGTTCCTTCGGTTAGTTTGTTTACTACTAAGTCAATTCAATGACAGTTAATAAATTATAATCGACTGAAGCTCGTTTTGGATTTGTACTGGGAAATAGTTTAAATCCATCATGACAAATTGATAGAGCTCATCTGAAATGTGCGATTCGTACTGAAAGTGAGACTTGGTAGGCGGTAGCCTAATTAGAACTTTTCATATTACAGGGTTGGATGTGGTGACTACTATAGCTTCCATCCCCACATTCAAACCGGGTGAACAAGTTCGGCAATATAATGATTTTGCAGAGTTTATTGGGGACGGGAGAGCCAAAACAGCACGTGCAATCTGGAACAGACCTCTTAAAACTCTGTATATAAGTGATTGTGGAATACTCAAGGTCGCTAAACCTACCCTTTCCCCAACTCTGCCATGAAACTGCCGCATTATTTTACCCCCTTTTTCATTTGTTTTGTTCTGCATATATAATGTATTTCCAGCTTATCACGACTCGAATGAGCAAGTTACTAACTTGTGTCCAGTATTAATGTACACGAGTATGCATTTGGCCTACTATTCTTTTGGATACAATGAGAGAAATCGTTAGTAATTTTGGCTGGATTATTCGTTGGATTCTTTATTATTTTCGTCTTTCTTAATGAAAGGAAAAAACAGATGTAGAGTTGACTCTTCTTAAATACAATGATCTGTGAGGCGGCTGGTACGTGTAGTAAAACATACTTACCCTGTGATTGGCATACCCTTTGTTTTCGTTTTATCCTCTGTAGCTCCACTCATTCTGAACAGGATGTGAGATGTTTTCAAATGAAATAGTTAGAAACTTCGTTTGTTTATGTACCTATAATGAAAGTTCTGTGTATACATGTTTGTAGCTCTCATAAGCATGATGAAAGTTGACTAGAGTAGGGGGGCATGTTTAAGGTTAAGTAAAATTCTATCGTTACATATTCGTTTGGCAAAGAACTTAGTCAGTCGACTCACTTCCTTTACGTACGTTTCAACATTTCCATATTCCTGGTCGGATTTTGTATAGACTAGACTTTTGATTAAGGGAAAAAAAAAAAAAAAAAAACAAGCACAAGTGATGGGAATTTCAACTGTTGTCAACCGTCTGTACATGGAAGTTGTGTATTCCTTTACCAAGAAGTTTGGTGATCTAAATTATGGGAGTGGGATTTCAAAACCAACGGTGTGGGCGCTAGTAAAACTGTAAACGAGTTTGAGCTCGAGCTCGAGTGCATCTCGTTACCCAGCTTTAAAAACAAATTGAATTATGTTAAAAAAGTTCAAAAAATCACAAAAAACTTCTAATGTCAAGCCTAACAAATTTAAGCCTTTAATGAGTCGAGCAGTCTTGAGCTCATGAGCTTTAGACCGTCTCCAACCGAGACGGAAAACCCAAAATATGCAGTGAGAATTCCTCCAACTGAGCGGCAAATCCGATCGCAAAATGCGATCTTCCTCTTCTCTCTCTTCGTTTGGACGCAATTTTGCGTCTGAACTTTTTTTTTTTTTTATCATTTCAGTCCTTTTTTTTTTGTCTCTTTCATCTTCTTTATTTTTATTTCATTTTAGTCCCTTTATTTAATTTATTAGATAATATGATAATTACATTAATAAATATTATTTATATATTTATTTAAAATAATAATAAAATTAATTTCATAAGTATAATATTTAAAATAATAAATATTATATCTATCATTTAATTTGCACTAATACAATGAAAAAAAGTAACAGTTTTTAAAATGTGAATATATGCGCTAGACCATATATGGTCTAGAGTATAAATTTGCACTAAATCATATATTTTCAAAAGTAACAGTTTTGATTCAATCGGTACATAGATGTATTTGTATCTTCTTCACTTTTGAAATGAAGATGTAGTTAAAATACAAATGTAGGACAAGAAATTTTTTTATTCATATGGTATCATTTAAATATTAAAAAATTGCAAAATAAAATTATAATACATCAATAAATAAAAAACACAAAATAGTTAACATAAAAAGTACATTACACAAATTATTTAGCATAAAAAATACATTTAAATTTTCATTTTGCGTGTTGTAATTTCTAATTTTCATGTGTGTTGTAATTTTTAATTTTTCATCTTGTGTGTTGTAATTTTTAATTTTTCATCTTGTGAATTGTAATTTTTAATTTTATTTGTGTGGTGAAATTTTAATTTTTAATGAATATTTATTTCTCCGATTTTATTATGTATAATTAATTTTAATTACATAAAGTCCAAATTGAATTTAAAATAATAGTGTGGTTTAATTTGTAAAGTTGTAAAATATGTTGGTAGTATTGAAAAGTTATAAAAGTTGATGTAAAGAGAATATTCTGGGAATATTCTTTTGGGTTTGAGAATGAGTTTTTCGGTTGGAGATGAATTACTGCAAAATAGGATAGTTACTGCAAAATGGGTTTGAGTTTGAGTTTTTCGGTTGGAGATGACCTTAGACATTGTCCACACCGAGATTTGAGCCGTTAGATCATACGACACGTCGTGTTATAGTTGTTAAATTCCATACAACAAATGCCAATATAAACTTAAGGGATATAATTTATAATACGTACCCAATTTTTCCAAATACGTACCAAATTTATAATATTTGAAAATAAGTAAAACGCCTCAAATGCGTACTGCAATTTTTAGATCTGGCATATCCCATAAAGACGCTGGGGTTTACCCATCCAATTGCCCGATAAGTTTAGCGCAAGCCCAAAACTTTGCAGAATCCTAAAGCCCATAAGCCGAAAGCCCATTCAAAATGGAGGCTAAAAAAAGCTGGAAACGTCGCCGTTTCACAGGTCACACCAATAACCAACGTTTAAAAAAAAACCCACAACGGCTAGTTCCAGCCTTACCGTTCAACAAACGAAATCCACAACTCGATAAAAGCCTCTGCACATCCAACTCTGTTCGTCCTTGAAAAACCTCAAAAACTTCCAATTCACTAAACAAAATACACACAATCATCTTAAGCAGAAAACGAAGCCCGCAAAAGAAAATCAAGTTTTACGACGAAAAAAAATGGGGAGTTCATACACACCAACGTACTACACGTCCCTGCACGAGTCGATCACGACCATCTGCAAGTCGATCCTCCCCTTCTCCTTCAAGAAGCGGAGGATCCCGGCCATAGCCGCCGCCGAGAATCGTCTGTCTGAGCAGCAGTCGGATAATCTCAAGTGGCAGCAGGAATCGTTCCACCAGATGCTCAAGCTGATTGGCCTCTGCAAAGAGGGGATTATCGGCCAGGACGAGGTGTCTGATTTCAGGGCACACGTCGTTCAGACCATCACCGGCTTGCCTGTGGATTACGAGGCGCCCGTGATTTTGAGGGATAAGCTTATCTTCTTGCAGGTTAGTTAAATTAGTGTGTTAAAAATTCGGGCTTTTCGAGATTCTTGATTTGTTTTTTAACAATTTTGTGCGAGTAGTTTGTCCGGTTTATTACCTTAGAAAAGCTGGTAACATGAAAGATCATAAATTAACAGCAACACAAAGGCATATGGTACAATGTTCATGGATTAGCATATTTCTGAGTTGTACAGAAGCTCTTTCAATAGGACAGGGAACTTACGCATTTGATAATGTCTGCTCTGTTTCTTTTAGGACTTGTTTTACGCAAATTGCATAACCGAGGACGAATACCATGCTTCGAAGAGGCCACTGCTGCAAAGGCTTGCAGTCCAGGGGGCAAAGATTAGGGAAAGTGACGTAATTGTCGGGGCCCACAACGGGATTCCAAACGAGGAGTGGTCTGCTTTATATTTACAGGAAAAAAAGAAACAATGTTCGGTGAATCCAGATAGATTGATGCTAGAGAACAAACCGAAAGAAGTTTCCACTTGCGTCCCACCAGTTATAAGCACCACTAGATTCTCGGGCAAAAACGAGCTTCTGAGTTCCAAGGAAAACCCGTTTTGGGATTGTGATTTAGGCGAAAATGAAAGTGAGACTAAATCGATTCTCATGATGGAGACCTTACCGGAAGTGCCCGTCACGTCCGAGAAGCAAAATGAGAAAGCGAGAAGGAAACCGTTCAGTGGCCTCTTCAAAAGAAATGAACGTAATCCGGCTGTTGAGGAAAAAGAAAAATCGAAACTTGTGATGAAGAGTAATTGGGGTTTTGATGGACTTAAGAAATGGATGAAGAATGAGTCTGAGGATGAATCGACTCCCTTGTCTCGTACTGAAAAATCGGATAATGCAGGTTACAATAATGGCGGGACTGAACCAAAAATAAACCCAGTGGTGGGTGAAAGAGCAGAAAGCAAGAAAACAACAAAGGAGAAATTATTAGTTCATCAGAATGGATCAGAGACCAATTTGAATGAGGAGAAGAAGCACAGCTCGAGAAAATGGACGACGTTTAATGATGATGATGAAGAAGAAAACGCGCATCCAAATCTGTTTTCTAACCAAACCCATAATCCGTACAGCAACTCCATGAAGCAAGACAAGTTCTTCTCGTCCTCAGCCAATATTCGCTCATCTTTGAATAGTAGCAGTGGCAATGATAAGGGCTTTAGCTACAATCCTTTCTTTGAAGTGCAAGATTATTAAACACAAACAATCGCCTTTTTCTTGTTGTAAGGCCGTGTGTGTATCTGGCAGGATGCTGCTAAAGTTGCTGATGTTTTCTTGTTGTAAACTGGCTCTGTACAACAATATGTATGTTGATCGAGGTAATTAAGCTTGTACGAAATGTATGGTTCCATTAAGCTTGTTGTCAGTCCGCCGCCTAGGTATGAATTTTTCCCTTGCGTGATTCCGAGTCGCACACACAAATAAAGATCAATTTGAATTGCGAAAAACAACAATAAATAAATGAAATCAGGAGCTTATAAAGCCTACCGAGGATAGTATCGAATGCTTCAACAGCTAGATTTTCAATGAGTTTTTCTCTTTTTCTTTTATTATTCTTTTCGAAAAACATCTAAAATTGGTTCTCACTGGGAGCCTTAACCACACATAGGAAGCTACATCAAGATTAATCCTGATGAGTCACATGAAATTGAAAACACATGATATCAGACTGAAAAAAAAAAAAAACAGACAAACGGACCTTGTCATGTTTTCCACGAGCTCTAAAGTCCAATGAGAAGTGAATTAGCCAACCCTCTTTTCGCCTCCACAACTGGAAACACCTCCTAAAAATCGAATGGCTATTGTTGTACAGAAAATCAAGCATTCAAGTTGTTATGTGGGATCGAAGAGCACGACTTTTATTTGGACTTAACCAAACTGTGTCCACTATGCTGAGAAGAGACAAACTTGACAATCTCATATTTACCTGAATGATGAGAACTGTTGTTTTTCGTTAATGCATGACATCGAGTTCTTATGTGTAGATGATGAAACTTGAAATTTCACTTGAACTTCATGATCATTTATTGTTTACAACCTTGAACATTTATAATTTGCTGACATGTCTCATGGTTAGTTTACAATCGCATCTTCGCATACAGAACAACTCAAAAACATTGTTTGTTGTAACATTACTTACATCTTCACGACAATATCTCCACCGGAATTGTGGATTCGTAAACTCTCTCTTCTGCCTTCTTCGCCTAAACAAGTAAAATTCGACACGCAGCAAAAACTATAAATCCAACAAAAACAATCGTATAAAAGTTGGCAGGGAGAACAAGTCGTTTGGATAACATTCAATAAAGTTACATTTCTTATTACCTCATGTTCCCAATTAGTTCGAATGGTGATAGCTAAAAGGCTCACTAGTTGCACCAGTAGAGCACACAAAATTCCCAGCCACAGACCCTACAAGCATACGTCGTGCAAAATAGATCAAACAAGACGTAACATTACAAGAAAAAAAAAAAAAAAAAACCTTAATTATCGAAAGATGTTTTTACCTTTCCTCCTATGTGCAGAACAAAAGCTAACAAGATTGCCACCGGAATACCCACAAGATAATACGATCCTAGGTTTATAAAAGCTCCGATTTTCTGCCACCCACTTCCTCTAACAATTCCTATAAACATAAATTTATTATCGACATCACAATAGTTAGAGTTTGTTTTTTTGTAGATTAAGATTGGAATGGATATATGTACCTGAAAGAACACTCTGAAGCCCATCCATGAAGTTCGACAAGGCTAGAATCGGCATCATTGTGGCTACATAGGTAACGACTTTTACTTCATTACTGTAAGCATATCCCCATATGTTCCGTATTAATATCAGAACCAATCCCACTAAAATGCCCTCACTGATGGCAATGAGTAAGACCACATGTACAGCCAATCGAGCTGCCCGAGAATGCCCTGCCCCCAGCTCATTTGAGACTCGCGTGCTGCATTGAAGTTAAAGCGACATTTTCAAAAAAACGAGAAATTAAAAAAATAAAAAAAAATTAAAGTTGGAGCACGACTCACCTAACAGCACAACCGAGTCCAAATGGGATCATCCAAACTGTCCCAGCTGTATTAAGGCTGGAGATAGAACACACGACTTGCAGTTAGCACGATACTGATTTTTTTTTTTTTTTTTGGGGCAATGAATCAAAACTCGCCACAAAAGCAGAAGAAAATGGAAGCCTAACCAGATAGAGAGCACAGATGTTTCTAACTCGGGATTCGGAAGAAGACCGGAAAGGAGAACCATCATCTCAAAAGACCATGCCTCCAAGCTGTTCAATTCACGAAAAAATAAAGTCCAGTTCAATAACAGTCATATCGAAAAAGCTCAAAGGAAAAGCGACTTAGCATTACCAGATCATGACTGCAGAAGGGACCGCGAGCCTAATAAAACTAACGACATTACGCAAGGACTCTTTCGAAAAACCGGTCCAAGTTTTTGAACACGAAGGCGAAAACTTAATATAAATCAACATCAGGACAACATTCATCCAATAAGAGAGGGTATTCGCCACAGCAGCTCCTCGGCTGCCGAGCCCAGATTTCAAAACAAGAGCCCAACACAATAGCAAGTGCAGAACAACTACAATAGCCGAGCTTATCATCATGGGCAAGACATTGTTCTGCGCCTGCAAGAACTTGACTTGGCATTGTAAAAGGGCGTACGCGAAAATTGCGGGAATCATGAAACGGGCGTAAAGTCCCGCTTCTTTCGATATTCGAGGATTTTGGCCTAATGCGGTTAGGATTGTGCCGGTGTTTGCCCAGACAAAGGCAAGGGGCATGCACACGAGTAAGAGTACAAACATGGCTCTCTGCATGTGTATGCCAAGCATGTGATATTGCTTGGCTCCATATGACTGCCCACATAATGTGTCCAGTGCACTTGCCATTCCCATCTAAGTTCAAGATTCGAACAAGAAAGCAATAAAAATGTAAGTAAAAAGATCATCTCTGGTCTGAGATAATGAGCTAATTTATACACAATGAAAGTATCTTTGTGGGGAAATGCTACAGTCCCGAACCATTCTGTTGGGATTTGTAGATCATGTAGAATCTCCCATCTTTGTGGCAAACATTTCAAGGCTGAGGCACTTACCATTAAGCTGAAGCCGGTGACGGTTGCGAATGAGGTGGCCATGGAGGCACCGGAAAGAGCTAATTCCCCCAAATGCCCCACAAACATGACAGATATTAGCTGCAAACAGTACAGCAAAAGCGAGACCGAGATCATGGGCCCGGCTAGCCATAGCTGCTTCTTCAGCTCCTCTAACGTTGCTTCTTTTCCATCGAAAGACCGATCATTTTCGTCTGCGATTTTTCCTCCGATTCGGACGAGTTGTGAGGTGAGTGAGGACTCATCTTCTTCCATACTCGTCTGGTGTGTGATTGAGTGAGTGATTATATTGGTGTGTGGATGCTTAGGCCAAGAAATTCATGTGATTCATCAAATTTTATGAACAACAAAAAATACTATGTTCTTTCCTTGGTGACAAGTCTGTGGGGCTCATTTCCTTGGACTTGGTGCCATTCAATAATTTCAATAGACGCCAATTTTGATTCCAACTCCAACTCTGTCCAAAACCACTTTACAGTTACACATTGCTGTTATCAATATTTTAATTTTCGAATAATTTTCTTAACAAGTACCCGTGTAATACACGGGTATTGTACTAGTAACTATGAGATTTCAGCTCCTACATCCAACAAGCGATTGCATTCGTTCTATGTTTCAACAGTATTGTAATTGGATGTGGAGAAAGGATAATTGGTTGCAGTTTCAGTGCCATTAGAGCAATCTGGCGGTGACAGAGGGCGCGCCGAGTCGGTTTTACAAACACTACAGAGTTGTCGAAACCTATGGAATTCTGCTGCTTAAGTACAGCCAAGGGCATGAGCTACTCATAGATTGTTTTATTATAGCAGATCATTGTCAACTGATTCTAAAAATAGTTCCATTGTTCGGAAATTATGCAGCCTAGAAACACGCATTTGAATCAGCAGACATTGAGACTTCTCAAGTACTGGACTTCGCAGTTCGTCGTCATCCGTCCCTTGTGTTCCGTCTTGATGATAGCTTTGCAAGTTATTGGGTTGTATCCAAGTTGGCTAAGCTGGACATTCGCCGTCGTTCTCAAAATTTCACCATCCTCGCGCCAAATGATAAATTCTAGATCATTTCTATTTACATGCTTTTGAGCCTAGACTAAAAAGCTTCGGCGATTGGCACCTCAATTGCATCGAGGGAGTGCCGTTTTGTGGAGTTTTTTAGGCAATCCAACCTTACCTATTTACATAACTGAATGCATGATCAATTGGGAATGATGTATTTTCACTTGGGGCATCCTAAGCAAGTTGGAAGTGACATTTTGAAGTCATTCACCATATTTCTTCGTTGTTTAGTGTCGCGATGGAGATCGAAGGGGCTGCGAAATTTAAAATTCGGTGCTTTCTGTCGAGCAATTTCACGAGCAATTTCAGATTTGCGAACTTCTAATCCTAAGCAATTTGTTGTTTTTTCCTTGAAATATAACATAAAAGAGAAGAAGTGTTGAAGATGGTGATCCTTCTTTACACATAGTTTTTAAGACAGAAGGTTGATTTCCGGTGTGAAGATATGCTTTTAGGCACAGTTGGTGCTGCTTCATAATTCCTTTTGCCTATATTTTTACTATCTCTTGCTATGTTCATTTTTTTAGAAACAAATATGTCCTGCTTTGGTGTCTTAACTCTTTAATTTTGGGGTTTTTTTTCATTCTTTATTTTATCTTTTTTTTTATGTTATTTAAATTTTTGTATATGTTCATTCCCAGTAAGCAGTAAGCATTCTGTTTACTTTGATGTTCTTATCATCCTGATATTCTCTAGCTTGTCCATTTATTTGGAGAATGATTTTATATTTTCATTATTTACATTATCTTAATATAATGTAATGTACTATTTATTTTCATCCAATCATCATTGAATTAAAATAAATTGGGATTTCGTCGTTGTATCAAAAAAAAATTCTCTCTAAAATTTTCTATACATCCAGATCCCCTTCTCGACAAAATCAAATCTATACTTATATAATAAACCATCTCATTTATCAAAATTAGTAGGTAGAAAAGTCTAAGGACAATTAATGCATGTTATTTTCATCAATAGTTTGATTTTATGCATTCTATTACTTACTACTTATTACTAAATCAATAGAACAAAGTTTTGATCGGTGACCAAAAAAAACTTCTTCCAAAACTAAATCAGATTTCACGCCTAAATTGAAGTGTTCTGTTGTATGGAAAATCTTTTTTTAATGCAATTATAATTATAATGCGATATAAATCTAATCATATTTGTTCCTACATATAATAATCTGATATGATTTCTTTCACATTATCTCTACATATAATGCAATAATGCAATTATAAATTATAAATCTCTAAATATTAAATCAGCGTGTTCCTCACTTTCAACCACCTGCGAAAAAAAAATAAAAAAATAAATAAAAATAAAAAAAAATCTTCAATTAATGGGTCATTCATAACAATGAATCAAGAATTTGGCTTAATCAAACAAGTTAATAGGTTTAATAGACCTATGCTTAAAGTTCGAATTGTAAAATGTTTTTCCAAGACTGGGCAGCACATACAAATCATATCTTGAGTTGGCTCTACATGATAAAACTGTAAGTCAAATTATTTTTACTTTTTTTTTCTGAAATATCAAACATATATTTTCCTGGTCAACCATGGGTACTAATCATGCAACTTGTATGTTCCAGAAAATACCTATCATTTAATATTACTTCCAATTATTTCAATTATTTAATATAAATGTTCAACCCATGAAGTATTTTTACTAATCTCATTCTAACCATATTGTTTTGTTTTTCTAATAATTTCTACACTCTTTCCTAATCAATTCCTTATTCTTAACATGAAAATGTTTAATATGTTTGTAGAAAAGGTACAGGTTACCACTTCATTAAATGTCTTTATTATATGTTGTTGTTTCGCGTGTAACTAATAGAAAGGGGTTGAATATATTAGTTTGTGAGATTAACGAGTTGACCAATAATCAAACTCATAATGTTGTGTACAAGGATGTCTTTTATAATATATGATTATTCATTGTTGAATACTATCTTATTGTACAATTTCCCTACGTATTTATAAGTTTTTTTATTTAATATTGCATCTTATAATATAATATTCTCCAAATAAATATATCTCGTGCATCGCATGAGCACGTATTATATATATCCCGTACATTTTTCTTTATTCATGTATATAATAATAATAATCCTCGCTAAATGGCTTTAAAATTGTGCACCCCGTGCATCGCACGGGCTCTGCACTAGTCGGCTCAATCAGCGGCCGGATTTACTTCAATTAAGTAGTGCGCCTTCCTTCGTCAGGTGTTAGGCGTGTTGGTGGTCGGTTTCAGCCGGAGCGGCTTTCCATTCAGTTTTGCACTGATGTCCGCCGCAACGGGGAGTGAGGAGGAGGGCTACCTAGTGGTCTCGTCGAGCTTTGGCGCCATCCGGGGAGGAGTCTTCGACCTCTGTGCGTCGTCGGGGTGGTGTCGGGGGGAGGCCGCGGCTCCGGCCATCTGTCGGGGTTGGGGTGGTGTTCGACGGTTTCTATCCCTCCGGGTCATTTTTCCCTGGTGCTGGGGTTAATTGGCTGGCGGCAGCTCCGATCTCGACAATGGTGTTGTTCGAGGTTGGGGAGGCAGCGGTTGGTATGGGTTAGATCGGCGTTCCGCCAGTTGCGGACCGCGGTTGTCCGTATGGGCTCGGAGTTGCAGTTTAGGGAGGGTCTTACTAGGCGTTTTGCAGTTTCTGAAGCGTCTTCCCGAGGCGTGGTCCGGCCCGTTTAGTGGTCAGTTGTGGGGTCGTCGGCATACTCTTGGTGAATTTGTTGGAAGAAGGGCTTGTGTAGTTTTTAGTTTGTTTTTGTGTTTATATGTGAGTATTTGTCTAGTTGTTTTGACACGGCTCGTCTTTTTGACGCTAAATGTGTTGGATGATTAACCCGAGTAGGCTTGATCCTCTTTTGATTGCCATTCAGGGTGGACGTTTGACAACTCATTGGTGTCGCGGGAGTGGGTAGTGTTGTGTTGTATTGTGGGTTAGTGTTTTTGTGTTTTCTAGTGCTTTTGGTTTAATTTTCTTTGGGTCTTTTCTCCGTAAGGGAGTGTGTTTCTCCCGTAGGGTAGCGTGTTCTCTCGTAGAGGAGTGTGTTTCTCCCGTAGGGAAGCATGTAGTCTCCCGATAGGGGAATTCTTTCTCCAGTTGTGGAGTTTGTTTTTCTCTGTTGGTAGTGGGTGCATTTGTGTTAGTGTCGGCTATAGACGATCCTCTGGATCTGTCCTCCCACTAAATTCAGCGTTTGAGCTGTCTTTTGGGCTGAGATTTTCTAGATGTATCTATGTATTTTATGATATGAAATTTCTATCGTTTGTGAAAAAAAATGAATTAAAATAAATTTTCTTTCTTACGAACACATTGATGTGAAGTGTGAATAAAGTGGCATAGATGGTGCATGTAAGTTATTTTGTATGATGATTTACAGAACATAGTACTGGTGTAGACTATTATTATTGTTGTTCTTGTTGTTGTTATTATTATTATCGTTGTTGTTGTTGTTGTTGTTGTTGTTGTTGTTGTTGTTGGGATCTGTGAAGATCTCGTTATGTACAGATCATGAACTCAATAGCAAACATAAATCTATGCGCAGCGGATCTAAAGATTTGACGTAGAAAACTTAAGGCTTAAAATTTATGGCTATCTGGCTGATCTTCAAACAGATTAACCGAGATGAACACACGAACATGATGGGATCACAAACAGAATGACAACTCTTAATCGGGTCGAGTGGGTCGGATCGGTCGGGTCGGACCGCCGGATCGCGGAGGTGGCGCGTGGCGTCGCGGGGCTCGCCATGTGATCTTCTACTGTATATCTCAAATATCTTCTTCAACTTGTACCAGTGGAGCAACAAGAAGAAGATAAAATTCGAATGGGAACTGAGAGAGAGAGAGAGACGCGCGCGATGGTGTGTGTGGAATAATGTTTCAACTCTTATCTTCACATGAGCTTAATGGTGTATATATAGACCTCACTAGGAACCCTTAGGAGATTAGATATATGACTCCTTAATTAATAAAAATATTTGTGGGCCAAACTCGCTATTCTAATTAATTAAATAATATTATGGGTTACTAACATAATATTATTGCAATCCATTTCTTAGCCCAAATTACAATTGAGACTCCAATAATAATTACTCGAATTATCTCCTCATATTTAAGATATAATGTCCATTAATTAATTCGATTACTGATAATCAAGAATTAATTTTTATTTATAATTATTTCACCGAAACT